ACATAAATGACTTGACTTTGACATGTTCCTGTTACCTGGGATTGAGTTGTCATCTGTCTTCAGTGAGAGCTCAATGGATTCCTTCATGGTTTTCTCCAGTCTGTCCAGGATTTCCTCCTAATTCACAATCAAACTCTTATTCTCTCATCACAGAGCCTGATACCTGAATCACTGATGAATTCACTGTTTAAATGTGACTCAGAGGCTGCACAGACTGATCGAAAGGACTAATGACTCCATACTGTATGTGTCTGTCTTCAGTTAACAACAATAGCTGGTCAACTTGGATAATTAATGCAGTTTTTTAGTATCTGAAGCACCTTTCAGAATATGAATATGGAACAAGTCTTCATGTGAACTGTGGATGTGCAACACAACATGTTTTACAATCTCATCATATCTCATATTTAAAGTTTGACAAACCATCAAATCATGTAGCTGGTTCAACATGGCCACTTTAGCCATCTCAAACATGATGATTTGTTCATGTACATGTCTTGAAACAGCCTTCCTCATTTTCTCCAGGGAGCCTTTTCCCTTAAATTCTGCTGCTTCTACAATGAAACACAAACACGTGTTCAAACTGAATGAATCAATAGAAATCTGTATTAATACAGTGACAGGATGTATACATCTGATCTTCTTCCTTACTTTCATAGCACTCCTCCATGACGTCCTCTATTGTCTCCATCAGACTGTTGTAGATGGTTTTCTTACGCTCCCTGATGATCTTGTTGAGTTTTGCCTGAAGTTTTTCTTCCTTAAAATCAGAACACGATAAATAGATGAACATTGTTTTACACAACATCAAGAAAATACAAACCAGGTCAATTATTTTCAGAGTAGATTGATGTGTTGGATCTTCTTATGGTTCCGTTACTTGCCTGCTGATGTTCTAATGAACAGGATGATACTAGTTTTATCTTTACCTCTGTCTTGAGAAAGTTCAGTTGCAGTNGGAACATTAACGCCAGTCAGGCCGAGATGTTGTTCAGCGCTCTGCATGGATGTGTACTCTGATCGCTGTGGTGCATGTTGCTAAAAGGTTTTAGTAGTACAATATACACTCACCGGCCACTTTATTAGGTACACCTTGCTAGTACCAGGTTGGACCCCCTTTTGCCTTCAGAACTGACTTAATCCTTCACGGCATTGATTCAACAAGGTCCTGGAAACATTCCTCAGAGATTTTGCTCCATATTGACATGATAGCATCACGCAGTTGCTGCAGATTTGTCGGCTGCACATCCATGATGCAAATCTCCCGTTCCAGCACATCCCAAAGATGCTCTATTGGATGGAGATCTGGTGACTGTGGAGGCCGTTGGAGTGCAGTGAACTCATTGTCATGTTCAAGAAACCAGTCTGAGATGATTCGTCCTTTATGACATGGCTGGAAGTAGCCATCAGAAGATGGGTTCACTGTGGTCATAAAGGGATGGACATGGTCAGCAACAACACTCAGGTAGGCTGTGGCGTTGACACGATGATCAGTCGGTACTAAGGAGCCCAAAGTGTACCAAGAAAATATCCTCCACACCATTACACCACCACCAGCAGCCTGGACCGAAGATACAAGGCAGGATGGATCCATGCTTCATGTTGTTGACGCCAAATTCTGACCCGACCATCCGAATGTCGCAGCAGAAATCGAGACCCATCAGACCAGGCGACGTTTTTCCAATATTCTGTTGTCCAGTCTTGCTGAGCCTGTGTGAACTGTAGCCTCAGTTTCCTGTTCTTAGCTGACAGGAGCGGCACCCGGTGTGGTCTTCTGCTGCTGGAGCCCATCCACCTCAAGGTTCCACGTGTTGTGCGTTCAGAGATGCTGTTCTGCATACCTCGGTTTTTAACGAGTGGTTACTTGAGTTCCTGTTGCCTTTCTATCAGCTCCAACCAGTCTGGCCATTCTCCTCTGACCTCTGGCATCAACAAAGCCCACAGCGCCCACAGAACCGCTCACTGGATGTTTTCTCTTTTTCGGACCGTTCTCTGTAAACCCTAGAGATGGTTGTGCGTGAAAATCCCAATAGATCAGCAGTTTGTGAAATACTCAGACCATGCCACGTTCAAAGTCACTGAAATCACCTTTCTTCCCCATTCTGATGTTCAGTCCGAACTGCAGCAGATCATCTTGACCATGTCTACGTGCCTAAATGCATTGAGTTGCTGCCATGTGATTGGCTGATTAGAAATTTGTGTTAACGAGCAGTTGGACAGGTGTACCTAATAAAGTGTCCGGTGAGCGTAGGTTTGTGTTACAAAGCTTAGCTGGAGGGAAAATGTCATGAGCTAGAAGTAAGAATGCTGCAGGAACAAAGCTGGAAAAATCATTTCCACCT